TATGGAATGTTTAAATCTCTTGCCTGTTTTTAAATAGGTGTTTATTTTCTCATTGAGAGGAATGTTTTTTTTTTTTAAAAAAATATATTGTAGATACAAGTCTTTTGTCTTATGATTATTTTGCAAATATATTTTGTGGCTTGTCTTTTAATTTTATTAGTTTCTTTTGAAGGACAAATTTATTAATTTTTGAAGACCAGTGGATGTATTTCTTCTCTTCAAGCTTGTGCTTTTTCTGTCCTAGTTAAGAAGTCTTGCTAAAACAGAGATCACAGGTTTTCTTTGTGTACTGTCTTCTGCATGTTTTATAACTTTTTGCTCTTAAATTTAGGTCTATGATCCAGTTTTTATTAATTTAGTAAATTTATAAGTTAAGAGTCAAAAGAGTGTTTTATTTTGCTTATGGCTTTAACATTGTGTTAGCACATTTATTGGAAAGATTATTTTTCTGTTGAGTTACCTTAGTACCTTTTAGCACCAATTACCAACTAATTATATATATAGATTCATTTTTGGGTTTTCTGTGGTATTTCATGAGTCAGATTGTTTTATTTTTGTGCCAGTGCCACACTATTTTGATTATTGTTGCTTTGTAAATCTTGAAATCAGTTCTTTTCCAAAGTTGTTCTGGTTTTTTGTGTCCTTTGCATTTCCATATAAAGTTTAGAATTAGCTTTGATTTCTATAAGAAGCCAGCTGGAATTTTGATTTAGATTGTGTTAAATCTATATCTCAAGGTGGGGAGAATTGTCATCTTAATATTGTCTTGCTTTGTGAACTCAGTACTATATGTTTCAAATTATTTAGCTATCTTCTTTTTAAGCAGCATCTTATAGATGCTAATGTTAAGATTTTGGTGTTGTATTTCTTTTGTTGAATTTATCTCCAAGTGTTTTATATTTTTATGCTGTTTATAGATAATATATTTAAAATTTCAGAAACTGATGATTTATTGCTAGTATATAGAGAAATAATTGGGATTTGAATATTAGTTTTACATTTTGCAGCCTTAAGTTTACTTTTGCAAACTTAAGTTCACTTAATTAGGCTTAGTTGCTTTATTGTAGCTTTTATGTAATCAAAATATCTGTGAATAAGAAGTGGTTTTTTTTTTTTTTTTGCTAACCAATATCCTATCTTCTTTCTTTTCTTGCCGTTCTTCCTCTACCATTTCTTTTTCCCTTTCTCTCTTCCTTTCCATCAATCTTTTTTCAGTAGAAGTGATGAGAGCAGACATCCTTGCCTTGTACCTAGTCTTGGGGAGAAGTATTTGGTCTTGTTCTTTAAAGTAAGATGTTAGCTGCAGTTTTTTCTAGATGCCTGTCAAGTTGATAAAGTTTTCTTGTGTTTGTAGGTCTCTGAGAATTTTTGTTGGGAATGGATGTTGAGTTTTCCAGCAGTTTTTTTTTCTGCATCTCTCTTTTTTTGAGACAAGAGTAGCTCCGCTGGCCTTGAATTCAATATATAGTTCAAGTTGGTTTCAAACTCATAATGATCATCCTACTCAGCCTCCTGAGTGCTGGGATTATAGGCATGTGCTACCACGCCTGGCACTTACAGCATTTCTTGAGATAGTCATGGATAGCACTGACTATTTTCTAAAACAGTCTTACATTACTTTGATAAACCTCAATTTGTCATAACATATTATCCATTTTATATAGATTCCACTTACTAAAATTATTTTTCATCTAGATTCATGAGAAATATTGCTCCAATTTTCTTTTTTTTCTGTTAAGACTAACTTTGTAGAGCAGATTTTTCACTTTATTTATTTATTAATTTATTTATTTTGTTTTTTTTCCCGGTACCGGGAATCGAACTCACGACCACGCACTTGCCCGGCAGGCACTGTGCCGCTGAGCTAAATCCCCAGCCCCCAGAGTTTTCACTTAATCTAGTGTTTTCTCCATGCAACAGTAACTCAAGACACAATGCTGAGTTATATATTACTATGGCAAAAATCTCTGGATAAGATAGATGGCTTCTTAGATGTATTGTGTTTGAGTTGGTGGTGCCCTGGTAGTGGATCTAGAGGTGGAAATGCTTGAGTAAAGGGTAAATTTTATATATAGACCTAGAGTCATACAATTTATGAGTTAAAAAAGGAGTGGTAGAAATCATGTAATGTGAACAGGTGTTGAAGAAATGCTTAAATATACTGGCTTGCAAGAATGGTGTTTCCTGAGAATCATCTTACCCATAAGCAATTACTATCACCTTTAAGTAAATGCTCTCCTTTAGCAATCCAAAGTTGTGCACATTAAGCTGTTTTTCTTTTCAAGCCATTCACACCACAGATTCCTAAAAGGCCAGTCCGGAAGGAATGACAAAATAAGTGATAGCCATATTTTTCATTTCAGAGTGCAATAGAGAAGAGTTGACTAGTTGATAGATCTATGGGATATTAAGTACTTATGTATAGTATGTGTTTCTAACTTGTTAATGTTATAGATGGGGCAGCCTTCGATGTGTAATAAGTCTTTCCTCTCCCCACTGCCCGCCTTCGATTTCCTTCTGTCCATGAATGATGACAAAAGGGTCAGGTAGTGGTAAACCTTGTATTGGTTTGACTTCCAGGATTTCACCAGTATATTAGATCAATGACTTGAAATTGTAGCTGCTAAATTTCATTTTTAAATGAAACCTTAATGTGGAACCTCAGTGTAGAAGATAGATATGACTGAGATTCTGTTTATGTAAATATGGTTTTCAAATCCAGTATTTCAACATTCTGAATTTAATGAGAATAATACAATTCTGATGAGTACAAATCTAATATTAAGAGTTATGAATAACAGGTCAGTCATATCTTCAGCTACCATTTTATTTGGTTGGATGGCTGTATTGAAAATCATGACTTCACATATGAGTTAATTTCCCATGATTTTTTAAAAAATAGCTTTCTTTACAGTCTCAAAGAATTCTTTAAATAAACTTATCCAGAACTTGAACATGAAGGAGTAGGGAATTGGTTTTATAGTTTAATCACTGTAATTTCTAACAAACTGTTCACATCTTAAAATCACACATAAAGTCATACAAAGGGAAATTTTTTAAACAAATGCTAAACAGTGGATAATGTCTTTATGAGACTGTTGATAGGTTATTGTTATTTTACTGATTTTTTTGTGTAATGTGCACAGAAAATTAAATGTACCCTTGTTTATGTGCCACTTAGTACAGTAGGACTTTTTCTTGCTGAGCATTAGTGAGCAGATATGTACAGGTCTAATTGGGATGTTAGGTGAGAGGAAGAACAAAGAAATCAGTGTAGCTTTACAAACCTTTCTAATCAGTGACATTTACTAAAAGTTTTATATACACAGTGATAGCCAAAGAAACATTATTGTGAGGTTTACTTGAAAATGAGTCAGTCTGGCAAAGATATCTCTTGTATTAAGATTTGGTATAGAACTCATTCAGTTTTCTATATTTTTAATTGCACTTAGAATTTTAAAAAAAATTTTTTTTAAGAGGATTTGAAACCAAACGCTTGTACAATTCCTGAAGCTCTTTAGGATCTGTTCTGTGGAACAGTTTGAAAACCTTTTTGCTAGACCGTGTTATTCCACATAAAAATTTTAACTTAAGTTTTTCTTTAGTTCTCATTTGAAATTAGAGTTCTGATAAATTTTAAAGGGAAAATACAAAGGTTTTAGTGTGTTAAGGTTTATAGTAATGTGTTAAGTAACAAGTAGGAAAGTTTATAGTAATGTGTTAAGTAGCAAGAAGGAAATCAAAAGCAAAAATTGAGATAGACATATGTATGAGATTTATGTACCATTATAATAGTTAAAACATGTTAAAAACACCTACTTTTTACATTTCACATTCTCTTGTTATGTGAGTATAAATTCACATTCATAGGTTTAAACAGTTTCTAATTCTGACCTTTAAATTGGGTTTATAGAGCTCTCTTAGCTCATACATTTATACCCATTTGATCTGAAAGGAAGATGATGATATTCTTTGGCTTATTTACACATGTATACACAGATGTGATGAAGAGAGTTTTCACTATTGTTGCCTCAGAAGAGATTGTTACCTTTTTATCACTGTGGATTGGTTGTTACACCCTATACCTTTTCATTTCTCTTAATTTCTTCAGTTTTCCTTCACCTTTTCTAATAATTAGAATCTGAAATGTGTAACTGAGATTTTAGAGGTGATTTGGATTTCTCGTTTCAGAGTTCAGAGTGATCCTAACTAGATTCTGACCAGAAAAGAGTTTGTATGTCCTTGCATACTAGATTTAATAAAAACTACAAATATATTTTTTTAATTGTTTACTTTGGTTCTAGGATATCTGTATGGCCTTCTGTACAATTTTTAAATATTAGTAATGACACATCTGTGCTTAAAATGAGATAGTCTTCTTTTGTTAGGATTCTGAGCAGTGTAGAATAGAAAAGATCTTGGACTTTCAGGCTGGCAGATCTCTTTTGAAATTTTAGTTATACTACCTACCAGCCATGTGATCATGGAAAGTTACCTAGCTTCTATGAGTCTCATTTTCTTAATGTGTAAATTAGGGAAATAATGTGTGTTACACTCCTTCGGCATATTGAAGGAATATAGTAAAATAGACATGATGAAAGATAAAATAAAGAGTAGAAATATTAAAAGCTGGCAAAAAAAGAGAATAAACATCCATTAAATAGTACAATAGACTAGGGGCTGGGGATTTAGCTCAGCGGTACAGCACTTGCCTGGCAAGCATGAGGTTGTGAGTTCGATTCCCGGTACTGGGAAAAAAAAATAGTATAATAGACTGTATGGAGGAACAAAAATGGATAAGGAAGAGTTCAGTTTATATTTGGTTCAATTCTGATATTTTCCCTATTTGCATTAGTATGTATTGTATACAATGTTAGTCTTTATTGAACTTACATCTTTTTTGGTGATCAAATTGTGTTTAAATTTTAAGTGTCTTTTATTTGTTTTTGTTAGTATTACTATTCTCTGAATAATTACACAAGTTTTTCTTTAACTCACAGGTGGCTGTTTGTTGCATCTGTTTTTTTGTTATTCTTCCTCTAAATCTTGTTGGTACAATACTTGGCCGAAATCTGTCAGGTCAACCCAACTTCCCTTGCCGGGTCAATGCTGTGCCTCGTCCTATACCAGAGAAAAAATGGTAAAGAGAATGCTACAGTTTATGTGATTGTTTCTCACAGTATATGTGTTCTTAAGGCTATTGTGTACATACCAAATTTAGAACTGGCATGTTTTATGAGAATGACTGTCTTAAATTTCTGCTTAAGAATTTGTTCGTTTTAATTTTTCCATCAATCTACTTGTTAGAAGGAGTAATGTTATACCCTATTTTACTTACTAAATATTTGTGCCTTTTACAAGTGAGTTAAATGCTTTGATAAGTATAATAGCACACAGACAGTTATGTGGGCAGTAAAGCTGGAAAGACTTTATTAGGTCTGCTTGTTGTTTTTTTATACATAAAACTTTATAGATTAAAAATCAAAGGATGGAAAACAATATTCCATGCAATGGTGACCCAAAAACAGGAGATGCTATCCTATTTTCAAACAAAGTGGACCGTAAGCCAAAACTGATCAGGAGAATCAAAAAAGGACTCTACATATGGGTTAAAGGAACAATTCATTAGACAGAGATAATAATTATAAACGTGCACCAAATAGCGGTACATCCAGCTCCATAAAACAAACACTACTGGACATAAAAGATCAGGTAAAACATCAAAACAGTTACAGTGGGAGACCTCAGTAAACCACTATCACAAATAGTTAATTAAACAAAAAAATCAACAAATACCAAAGTTGAACCAAGTCTTAGAACAAATGGATTTCATAGGTGTATTACAGAGTGTTTCACCCAGAAACAGTGGAGTACACATTTTTCTGGCAGTTCATAGAACTTCCTCCAAAATCAACCACATACCGGCCAAAAAGCATGCTTTAGTAAATGCAAAAGAGTCAAAATTTAATTTAATTTTTTTTAAGAATCAAAATTTTGCCATGCATATTATCAGATTATGGTGCAGTGAAGCTAGAAATCAGTGGCAAAAGGTACCACAGAAATTATGCAAATGCATGGAAATTAAACAGCACACTCTTGAATAATCAAAGGGTCACAGAAGAAATCAAGAAAAAAAAAAAAGAGACCGTTCCTAGAGTTAAATGATAATGCCAGTACAATATACCAGAACGTAAGGGACACAGTGGAAGAAGTCCTCAGAGGGAAGTTTATAGCTATGATTGCCCAGATCAGAAAAACAAAACGAACCAAGATTCTAGAAAAACAAAAACAGTCCAAATCTAGAGTTGGTGCAAGGAAGGGAACTACAAAGATCTGAGCAGAGATCAATGCAAGGGAGACTTTAAAGAAAAATGGACTCAATAAATCCAAGAACTGGTTCTTTGAAAGACTAAACAGAGAAACTGTTATCCACACTTATAAAGAAAAAAAATGGGAAAGGCACAAATCAATGCTGTTAGGAACAAAAAAGTTATAATCACAGTGAACATCACTGAAATCCAGAAGATGATTAGTAACTTCTTCATAAACATGTACATCTATAAATTGAAAAACTCAGAAGAAATGGAGAATTTCCTAGATAACCTATAAATTACCAACTGAACCAAGAAGATTTGAAAATCCTGAATAACCCAATGACAGGGATTGAAATTGAAGCAACAAAAAAAAAACCTGTCAACTAAGAAAAGCCCAGGACCTGATGGATTCACTGCCAGACTCTACATAAACTTCAGGGAAGATCTCATGTCAGTACTCTTTAACTAATGAACTTGAAAGGGAAGGAGTACTTCCAAGGTCATTCTTGGAAGCTAGCCTTAATTACCCTGTTCCAAAAGCAGACAAGCATCCAGAGATGAGAGAGAACTAATGGCCAAGCTCTGTAATGAACATAGGTACAAAACTCCACAACAAGACCCTGGCAAACTGAATGTAGCAAATCATCAAAAGGGTCATACCATGATGAAGGAGGTATATTAATTATAATTATAATAAATTATAATTCCAGATTTGAAGTTACATTACAAAGATAGAATGATAAAAACAGTATGGTACTGGCACAGAAACAGACGTGGATTAACAGAATAGAGGAAGCAGAAACAACCCCAAGCATATTCAGCTGTTTGATGTTTGATAAAGAGGCCAAACAAATGCACTGGAGGAAAGATAGCCTCCTTAATAAATAGTGCTGGAAAAATTAGTTATCCACATGCAGATTGAGTCTAGACCCTAAGATCTCACCATGTTCTAAACTAAAATCAAAATGGATTAGGGCTGGGGATTTAGCTCAGTGACAAAAGTGCCTGCCTGGCAAGCGCAAGGTCGTGAGTTCGGTTCCTGGTACCGGAGAAAACCTCCCCCGCAAAAAAAAAAAAAAAAAAATCAAAATGGATCAAAGGTTTAAATGTTAAAACAGAAATGGTCTGCTGGAAAGCATAGCCTCAGGCAAGGATTTTCTGAATAGAACCCCAATAGGACAAGAAATAATATGAAGAATTAACAGATGGGATCATATCAAATTAAAAAACCTCTGCTCAGTAAACAACTAACAGAATGAAGAGACAGTCTACAGAATGGAAAAAAAAAAGACTACCTTTGCCAGGTAATCTTCAGTGTATTAACATCTTTAAATACATGAAAACAAAGTTCAACATTTTAAATGCAAATTAAAACAACACTGTGATGATACTGTCTTACTCCAGAAAGAATGGCAGTCATCAAGAAATCAAATAAATGCAAAATGCTGGAGAGGCTGTGGTGAAGGAGGAACCCCTCTTCATTATTGGTGGGAATGTAAACTAGTACAATCACTGTGGAAATAAAGATAGAGTCCTCAAAAAACTAAAAACAAATTCCATTTGACCTAACTGTTCCCCTTCTAGGTATCTTCCCAAAAGATAGAAAGTCATCCTATTAATAGTGATACAGGCATAAAACCATATTTATAGCAGCACAGTTTATAATAGCTAAGTCTTGGAAATAGCCTACATGCTCATGAGCAGATGAATGGATAAAGAAAATGTGGCATTTATACACAATGGAATGTTACTTTGCTATAAAGAACGATAAACTTAAGGCATTCTAGGTATATGAACACGCCTTGAGACCATAACATTAAGTGAGGTAAAACAGATACACAAGCTTATATATCGCATGATTTCTCTTCTGTGTGAAATCTAAAATAAAGAGCAAAATAAAATAGGAAGTAGGGAGATCTTTTTCAAATGGGAAGGGGAACAGGAAGTGGAGACAGGGAAAGGGGATAGAAAAAAAAAGAACTGAAAGAAAAAAAGTAGAAATAAATCTTTCACAAATGCAAATAGCCCAAGAGTTGGAAGGAACAGGGAAGGATAGGATGGGTAGGGGCCCAAAAAGAATTAAGATGTGTTATGTACATGTACCAACTCTTCTCCATAATCATTTTGTACTGCAAACATGTACTAATAAAAAAAAATTTTTAAAAAAGGAATTCAAATCCCTTGAGAATAGAGTTAGTACAGTGGATATTATGATTTATGCTATTATGCTTTTATTTTCCTAGTTTGTTTTGTTTCCATAATGCTTAATAGCAGAGAAAAACAGAACAATCTTATTATACATTTATTACATTTGTCATCTTATAAGACTATCTGAACAGTACACTATCTTTATAAGAAATACACACACACTGAAAAGCCTTTGCTCTTAGATATTTTACTACATTATACATACAGCATACATTCTAGTAATTATACAAATAGGTTAAGATTATTCTTGTTCTTTTCTAGATATGAATACATAAAGACATGTATAGAAATGAAGGTGGAATAAAATAGTCCCCAAGCCAGGCATGGTGGTGCATACCTGTAATTCTAGCACTCTGGGGGGCTGAGGCAGGAGAATTGCAAGTTTGAACCCAGCCTGGGCAACTTATTGAGGCTGTGTTTCAAAAAAATAAGAAGAGCTGGAGATGTAACTCGATGCGAAGGCCCTGAGTTTAATCCTCATACCATAAAATAGTTCGGGGGAGAGTGATGTATTCTAGTGTTAGAGGAATTGGCCCTGTTCTTTTTCTGCTCTTAGATTATGCTTATGAGGGACTTTGGGTAAAAACTTTTTGAGTCTTTTTTTGAACTACATTTTTTTCTAAGTCAATACTAGACTTTTAGGGTCCATCAATATCCTGATGTTTGCTTCATTACTGGGAAGGGTAGTGTTAACGAAAAAGCACAGCAGTATGTTAAGTGCTGCAATGAAGGTTATATTCAAGAGGCAGTGAAAGAATAGGCCAAAGAGCCACCTCGTCCTGGGACACTTACGAAGCTTTAAAGAAAAAACACGTTAGCCAGTGTTGCGGGAAGAAAATTGTAAGAGAAGGCATCCTAGGTAGAGGATGACTGATGCAGTCTATAAATGTTTGTTAATGAATAGGTGAAGTTTGAATATTATTTTATTCTTTCTTTGGCCCCCGTGTAAATCAGAACTCATTATATCATTGTCTAATTCATTGGAAAAGGAATTACAGAGCCAGGGAGAGAGAGGACAGAAAGATAGCAAAGCTACAATTTAGGAAACCTTTCAAATGGTACTCTAAAGATTTGAGTTCTGCCAGTGGCAATAATTTATGCTTTAATGCGGAAAGAGTATTGGATATAACCCATAGCTAGTTTGAAGTTCCATACCTTTGTATTATGCTTCTGGATTTTGTTTGTTTGTTTGTTTTTTAGTGGTTTCTATTTACCCTTTAGAGATGACCTATTAGGAATTCTAGAATATAAAGATCATATTAGGAGTTTACTGTTAATTTTAATATTTTCCAGGTTTATGGAGCCTGCGGTTATTGTTTGCCTGGGAGGAATTTTACCTTTTGGCTCAATCTTTATTGAAATGTAAGTTTTAATGATGTATTTCTGTCTTGAAATTTGATTGTAATAAAATAATTTAGGAATTAGGATAGGTATAGATTCATCAGATGAGGTAGCATCTGTAGTAGTCAGCCTTGTGTCACTGTAACAAAATACGTGAGGTAGATAACTTGAGCTCACAGTTTTAAGACATTGAGTTTTAAGAGATTGAAGAATAGGTAGGTCCATTGATTTGGCCTCAGGTAAAGATGGTGGATGGTAGTACATTATGATGGGAGTGTTTGTGGAAAGAGCTTACATCACCAAACAGGAAATCAGAGAGAGAGATTGGCATCCTACATTCCCTTTCAGGGGTGTGGCCCAGGTGATGTAAGGAACAACCACAGGTTCCTACCTCCCAAAGATTCCACCACCACTCAGCAGTACTTCCCTGGGGACCATGATGTTTAATCACGGTAGATCCTTCGGGACATTCAGCCTATACTCAAACCATAGCAGCATCTAACAGAGTTAGTTAATTCCATAGGTTCCCAAAAAGGATCTATACAGGCTCTAAGGTGGCTGTCTCCCCTATTCTCAGATTTTTAGGTGAAGTGTATATGTTTTGTGTGGTGTTCCAGATTTCTCTTACCTAACAGATCTAAGAAGTCAAAGCATGCATGGCAAAAAATTGGTACACTAGGCTTTTGATTACACGTATAGTATAAGGAATTACTGTTTTATTGTATGTTTTGAATATTTCTAAGAACCCAAGGAACTAGGTAAACGATTATTTGGTATTTACTATATATATGTTTTTAATGTAGTCATTGCTAGGTTCCTTCCCTAGAGGTCTACAGAACTACTGGGAAGTGTGTATGTGTGTGCCCACTTACATACTTCATATCTGCATCCTTCATTACCATTGCAAAATATAAGCCTTTTGCTCTCTCTGCCTTTGTATTCTGTAATAAAAATATTGTTTATTTTAGGCAAGATAGTTGTTTGTATGGGACTGCAGTCATATACACCTGGCTCCTCCCCACTAAATTCCAGTCCTTGTGACAACTTTAAATACTCTACACATTGTCTGATGCCACACTCCTGATTCTCTCCTGTATGGTAGAAGCTTCTGTAATAGACATACTTGGGTTGGTAGCTGGTTAATTGAAAAGGTTGGTTCATGTAAGAGAAGTATAAACAAAGCATATGTGTGTTTTAAAATAAGTACATCATTCACTGATTTTTAAATGTTTTAAAATATAGAGCCGAAGTCTTTGTGATTTGTATCTTTGTGTTGGAGTATCTACCATTTTCCTTTAATATTCATAGTAAAACTTGCATATTTCTCAGCTTTTTAAAAAGAAGAACAAGAAATAAAGACCTATCTGAAGCATTCTAAGTACAGAATCCTTTTAGATTCATTCATTTGTCCCAATCTGTTACAGCCATTTTATACTTAATTTTATAGCTTTTTCTTTTTAGTGACTCTCCTTATTGAATCTTTCCAACATATTTAGTACAATTTTTATAACAACCACACATCTTTTTTGTTCTTATTTATTGGTTTATGTAATAATTAATGGCCTATGTATGTCAAATTTCCATCACTGTGACAAATACCTAAGGTAAGTCTCTTTATAAGGAGGAAAAGTTTATTTTGGCTCCTGAGTTCAGAGGTTTCAGTCCATGCTTGCATGTCAGAGGAAAACTGTTCACCTCATGCAGCCAGGAAGCAAATCGGGGTAACAGCAAGGCTGGCTGACTGGCCAGCCATGGTCCCAATATTCCCTTCAAGACATGTCCTCAATGATCTTACTTCCTTTTAGTAGACTTCACCTCTTAAAGGTTTCATCACTTCTCAGTAGTGCCATAGGCACTTAAAAACATGAGTTTTGGGGAGCATTTAAGATCCAAATCCAACATTGTCTACTTTAACAAGTACAGTTGACATAAATAGGTATGGTTGTCACCTGTCATCTAGAAGTGTGCTGTGTATGTTAGGTGGTATCTTGTGGAGAGTATGTGTCACTCTAACTTGTAGTTTTGTAGACAGTCAAAGAACTACTTCTGCACTTTAGGCTGATACTGCTTTGTGTTCTCACTGATGTGACCCCTCACTATTTTCTCACTCCTACTCCTGTCCCCAGTACTTCTGGATCATGTCTCCTCTTATTTTCAGAAGTGTTCTGTTCCATTTGATAGCTTTTCAACTCTTTCTTTAAAGTCTCCTCTTTTGAATACCCTTGAAGACATTTTCCTCCTGGCAGCAAAGTGATATTTTTTAATCTATCAGTCTGCTCATATCACTTCTTTGTTAACATCTTCTCATTTTCATAACATAACCAAGAGGGGCCTTCGTAATACTGGAAATGATCCTGTCTATTCACTTAATTCTTGCCCCTTCATTTAAATTTCTAGCTATTTTGAATTCTTTGAGTTTTTCAAAATGCAGTTGATTCCTTTACTTACAAATTCCTTTGCTTTTGCTGTTTTGCTGTTCCTGGACCTGGATCATTCTCCTAGGTTCCTTTACCTCAAACATACGTTGTCTGAGTCTTACCGTCCCTCCCTGTGCCCTACTAGTCAATAATCTCCTTAAGGGTAAAGATGTTGTCTTCACAATTCTTTTTGCTTTCCTGATTAGTGTATGGTAGGAGTTCTGTAAATATTTGTTCAAAGAATGAATGGTGAATAAACAAGCTAATAAACAGAAGAGAGCACACAAAGGAGAGAGACAGACTAAAGGCCCTATTCAGATTTAGTGATGATTGGGGCAGTGGATTTAAAGTCTTTCACTTAATGAAAAATCTTATTGCCCTTTCCCTCACTGTCTTCTTTTTTTGTTGTTTTTTTTCTGGTACTGGGAATTGAACTCATGATGTTGCACTTGCCACGTAGGCACTGTGCCGCTGAGCTAAATCCCCAGTCCCTCCCTCACTGTCTTTTGAAGACAGTGTAAACCTTCCTTAGACTTTATTTTCTTTTCTGTAATTTTACATATTACTCTATTAAACTTAGTTTTCTATTTAGTAGGGTGTTTTACAAAGTATAATACGTTATTTACTAATATCTACAAGAAATTAAGAAATGGGCTTTATTTTACAAATACATGGTTTTTAGCTGTTTTCATTTGTTCTTTTCTATATTTTACCCCTTCAAACTTCTATTTATTTAGAATAGAGATAAATGCCCTAATGAAGAATCTGTTCTTGAAAAATTATAAGAACATTTTTGAGAGAATTTTTGAGGATTTAATATATGAGAAATGGGTTAAAGAAAGTTTTGGAAGTTACTTAAAAGTATTGCAATCTGTGAGATTAAAGATGAGAACTAAGATATGAGAGCAGAGTAGGTTCAAGAATGAAAACTAGAGCCAGGCATGGTAGTGGACACCTGTAATTATAGCACTCAGGAGTCTGTTGTAGGCCAGCCTAAACTACATAGTGAAACTCACCATGTTTTTTCTCAAAAAACAAAACAAAATGAAGACTAGAAACCTTTGTCTTTTACTGCATTGTCTAGGTATTTCATCTTCACATCTTTCTGGGCATATAAGATCTATTATGTGTATGGCTTCATGATGTTGGTGCTGGTCATCCTGTGCATTGTGACCGTCTGCGTGACCATCGTGTGCACGTACTTCCTGCTAAATGCAGAGGATTATAGGTGGTAAGTGCTGCTTGTGGGCAAAGCCTCCAGTACCATAAATTTTACAGTAAGATTATCTTTGGAGTCTATTAAGCAAAGGAAAAGGTCTGGTTAGAAATTTTGCTGCTTAAAATAGTATATAGAACAGGGCATTGTGGCACATGCTTGTAATCTCAGCTACTCAGGAGACTGAGGCAGAAAGATTGCAAGTTCAAGCCTGGCTTGGGCAATTTAGCAAGACTCTGTCTTAAAATAACAGGAGCTGGAGATGTAACTCATTAATAAGTGTGAGGCCTAGGTTTAATCTCTATATTGCTGAAAAGGAAACAAAAAGCATAGCAGGTTTTTTTTAGTTAAAGAAATGATCAACATTATGGAAAAATAGTATCAGATTTTTTTGTTAGAAATAGTTTTGCACAGTGCTTGATGTGGAAAACATCTTTCCATTTTAAATGGAAGACTTAAGTGAAGAAGGAAATGGTTTATTCAAGATCAGTGATAATAGGGAATGTGACAAAATTCAGGTTCTCCTAATTTTTAGATTGTTTCCTAGTTGATATATCAAGCACCAATTACAAAAACTTGTTTTTAAATATGCAGAGTTTTAAAAGTTTTTTTTTTTTTTTAATAACATTCTTTGTTTTAAAATCTTTACTTTATAGTGCCATTTACTGAAGAGTTCTTTCCCCCCTCTTTCCCAGGCAATGGACAAGTTTTCTGTCTGCTGCATCAACTGCAATCTATGTTTACATGTATTCCTTTTACTACTATTTTTTCAAAACAAAGTAAGTAGAGACTTTTTTTTTTTTTTTTTTAATTTAGGGAACTAAATTTGTTCTTCAAATACCTTACGTTGAAAATAAAAATATGTATACTAAGTATAGTTGTTTCTTTATTGCAGGATGTATGGCTTATTTCAAACATCATTTTACTTTGGATACATGGCGGTATTTAGCACAGCCTTGGGGATAATGTGTGGTAAGTTCTGAAATTCTTGGGGGATAAGTAAATCTGAATGTCTCAGAAAAATGCAGTAATTGGAAATTAAGAAATTCCTTTCTGTTGTTTTATCAGAAACACCAAAATAAATTCAAGAGTCTTTCAGTCCATTGACTCTTTCCCAAACCTAATTTATGACCTTATTAATTTCTGGTCTACTAATTCTCATGGTACATAATACATTTAGTTTTTCATCCATATTGACAATTGACTTTTTTTAAGCTTGCTGATTCATTGCTGAAGATCATGTTGTTAGCAGGTTAAGGTGTTGTCTGAATGATTTCTGTTGGGAAGTTTCTTGGACTGTCAATGGAGATGAGATACTAGTGTCTAGAAGGCAGCATAGATTACTGAGTGACTACTTGTACATGCCTGGGTATACCTGCAGATGGGGCTTAAGTTTGTCAGGTGCCACATGTGTGTTCTGTGCCTTAATCCAGTTGCCCTAACTTTCTTTTTTTTTTTTCCTGGGTACCGGGAACCGAACTCACGACCTTGCGCTTGCCAGGCAGGTGCTGTGCCGCTGAGCTAAATCCCCAGCCCCTGCCCTAACTTTCTAAGGCTCTGAAATTCTGTTTTGGGGTTTTTTTTGGAACCGGGATTCAAACTCAGAACCTTGTACTTGCCAGGCAGGCACCGTGCTGCTGAGCTATATCCCCTACCCCTCCAAGCCTCAGTAAAGTGAGAATAAAACTACTGTCTCATTTATCTAGCACTCATTAGAAGGAAGCAGGAACAGTTGTCACTGTACAGTAAGAGTCCCTGGCATTTATGAAATAACTAGAAAATAAAGATAGTATGTCTGGCATGATAAATGGAAAGGGTATGAACCTCAGAGCCCAAAAGATCTGAATTTTATATCTCCATGCTGCCACTCACCTTCTTTTTGCCATAGAGATCACATTAACCTCTGCCAGTCTCATTTCTCATCTGTACAATGGGCATGTCTTGCAGAATTGAGAGGTTGAGGGGAACCATGTTCTATGTGGAAAACACCAGGTGTAGTACTTGGACTGTTAGTTGCGAAGAGGCAGTCAGATACATAGGAGAGATTCTGAGGAATGTGAAGAACTTGGACTTCTGGGGTCAGTCAGCCCTAGGTAGGAATTCTGGTATCCTCACTTAACAGCTGCCTACTATGGTTTCTTCCTCATTAGTAGAATAGAAGAAAACCTACCTCACAAGATTGTGCAAAGGATTCTGTGATTGAATGTGATGAATAAATCTTGAGCTGATGGCAGATGCTTTGTGAGTGGTGGTCACTGCTGTTACAGATGAGGGCTAAATGTCCTTGAATTTCTTCTGCTTTGGGATTGCAGCTGGTTTCTGCTGTCACTGTGAGATTCTGTACCTTGCATCATCTGCAGAACAATTTCATGACAGTAGGTCTAGGCAGAGCTACTTTAAGGAAAACTCATTCATTGGTTTATACAATAATGATACTAATCATTGCTTTATTTGATAAATGAGACTATTCGCTATACATACATTTCTAGAGAGCAGATAACTTAGACTGTCCTCCTTTTTCCATTATTTTGCCATGGGCATTTCAAACAAATGAACAACAACAAAAACCTTCCACTTTTAGCTGTAGGTTGGTCTATGGAATGGAGAAGATACAATAATTTTGTGAAAGACTAGTCTGTGTACAACATTCATGGAGATCTTTGGGGTACCAGTATTGCTTTGTTCCCCCACTGAAGCGTGTTCAGTTCATATGCACCATGTGTATGATCAGGTATGCACATACAGATGAGGCTGAATGTAAAATAGTGAAACTAATTCCACATGCTATAAGGGAAAATGTTTCTCCGCATTATAGTCATGGCTGCTATGACTATAATGCTATGTTTATAGCATTGTTGCTGCTTTAGGCATTCTCTATAGTAATTAATTAATTAACGAACTTTGAGGGAAAGAAGAATACCGCACCAAAGGTTATTAAAACAAGGTTGTATTGTGTGGAAACACTTCTGTCCTCAGGCAAGCGGATGTTCCTGTAATGTTATGGGTAATTCTTCCTTCACAGTATTGCTGACTGTGTGCTCCTCTTTATGAGATCTTTCTTGATTATCACTACTAATCAGTTTGGTATAGAATTATGTCATGCGGAGAGTGAACATTTTTTCTGGACTTGACTTTATATGTAATCTAGGAAGACCTAGAGAAGTAAAATCTTAACGTTTAGAAGGAAAGTGGAGGAATCTAGCTAAAATTTTGGAGTGTTTTTCCCACTGAAATTTTATATTGCTGCCTGAAATCATGGTACATTTATAGTTCTCTGTCACTCTGGTGGTACCCTAATACTTATTTTTTAATGGCTTGATATGCTTCACAGCTAGTCTGTTTTGCAGGGTGAAGGGGATAGTGTTCAGACTGGAACTGACTAAAATGTCATTATAATATAAAATTATGCATACCCATCAATTTTGTTGATTAAAATGTTTAAGTCAGTAATAAAATATTTGTTGATTTTTTTTTAATGTAGAAAAAATAATGTGGGAAATAATTTAGATTGTTCTAGCGTATATGTTAAGAGCACAGCATTTTTAAGGAAACTGTGCATCTGTTATTCTTGCTTTTATGAATATATGCAATATACTCTTTTTATAAAGTCATATTTTCATAAGTTTATACTTGAGGAATTCATAAGATTAGAAAACATGATTTTCTAGGTTGATGCTGTTTTGATTTTGTGTGTATTTTCTGCTCAAAAGAGAAAAATTTAATTGGATTTTGTTGTTGGATTTGTGCTATATTTTACCACTTAAGTTTTTGATGGTATTAAATTTTTTATAGATTTTTTTAAGAATCCAGGTTTACTTTATAAAATAGAATAATTTTTCTTTTACCTTTAAAAGATCTGTAATGTAATTCTTTTAAAATGCATTATCAGTATTTTAAGGTGTAATTTTAGTTCATATTATAAGAGAAATGTCTAGTCCTTGCAAAAATAATTGGAAGTAAGTTTGCTTTGACATTTTAGTAGTTGTTTTTTTTTTTTTTTTTGTAATTTTAGTATTTAATTATGGGAAATTTCAAATGTTGACAGAATGAGAGGCACTAATATATATAGTGAGGTTCCATGTCCCCAACCTCCAGTATGGTGATTACAGAGTCATGGTCAGTTGAGTTTGTTATACTGTGTCCCTGTTTTACCCTTCTCTTCCTTATTTGGACATCAATCTTAGATTTTGTGTTATTTCAACTATAAGTATTTCAGTGTATATCTCTCTTTCTAAAAGATAAACAGAATTTCTTAATATGGTGAAATGTTAGTATTCATATTCACCCCTCCTGGCCCCACTTCTCTTTTAATACAATTTTTTTGCATCAAGATCCAATTGAGGCCCCTGTATTGCTTGGTTAAAAAGTCTTTTATAGCTCTTGTTATCTACTGACGTTCTTTGTCTTCTGTTATTTTTAAAACAAGTCTTGTTGCATTTTAAACACTCTGGGTATATCCCTGCTGATTGTACTCCTGAGGTACCATTAATGTTTTTCCATGTGCTTCTGTACACCCATAATTCTTCAGCAGTAGAGCTGTACCCTTGATCATATTCAGTACTCACCCAAATATTCTTAACAGGTAATTTATAAACTTAGCGGGAGGCACACAATGTCTGGTTGTTTCTCTGTGAAGTTAGTAACCATTGATGGCTAATTAATGCCTGGCTCAAATATTTCATTAGTGAGTATCAAGTCTTCTAATTCTGTTGTTCCTTTTATATTTATTAGCTTGGATACTTCTAGGAGAATCTTCTTTTCTTCAGCTATTTGATTGTCTTGAGATATAGTTCACATATAAGAAAGGCAAGATACATCCTTCTTTCTTTACTTTCATTCACCAGTTGAGAGAATAAAAGGTGGTTCAAAAATAACCAGTTAGGGAATTTGTGTGTGCTCACGTGTGTGTGTGTGTGTGTGTATACCACTACCAACTTATGGAAAGTTTACTTTTCACCTTTCAAGAATATTGGGATAAGTGGTAAATTCCTAAATCCAGTGGAAAATTTTTTCTAAAGGTCAGTGACTAATGGTCTTACTGTAGAGAGTCCCAAGTATTTGTAGTAAAGAACCATCCAAGCCAGGTGTGATAGCATGGCCTGTAATGCAGTAATGAGAGGCCTGAGGTAAGAGAATCACAAGTTTGCATCCAGCCTGGGGAACTTAGTGAGGCCCTGTCTCAAAAAAAAAAAGGGCTTGGGATAGTTCATTGCCAAGGCCCTGGGTCTGTTTGCCAGTATCAAAAACAAAAACTATCCACTTTGTTTATTCATTCAACAAATATGTATTAAGTCTCTTTTTATGTGCCAGGCCTTCCTTTAGACATGGAAATAAATAGTTCATTAACCATATAGACAAATATCCCTGGTTTCTAGAGTTTTGTTCCCTATTTGAGGCTCATGATTCAAAACATTTAAGAACTCCTGATCTATTTTCTATTACTTATTGTCCTGTCTACCAATCACACAGCTTTTGTGACATAAACATTAAAAAAAAAGACATCAAAAAGTATTTTTCTCTGTGTCTGTAAAAGTCACTGGAACGTAGTTTTTCTCCTCCGAGAATATCCCTTGTGCCTTCTTACTTGGGAATGTATGTTGATACTGCATTAATGACCTATAGGGTAATATGTGCTCAAGTCAAATAAGGTGTTTAGCAAAGTTTTGTCATTACCAGATTAGTCCTGCTTTTTATAAGAGGTGTGTTTTAATTCCATAATTGCTGATTGTACATGTAATAATTGGCTGTTTGATTTAGAATCCAATTACATTAGGTCACACTTGGTGTATAACAGTAACAAATACTTTGCAAAGCAGATGATACACTTTTAAGAAGTAAGTCCAAAGAGGATGCTAATATAAACATACCTTGAAAAGTAGCTTTCTAGAGCAGAGAATAGTTAAATGTTTGATATTGTCCTGTATTTATTTCAAGCTTCTTATTTTCTCTTTGTAGGAGCAATTGGTTACATGGGAACAAGTGCCTTTGTCCGAAAAATCTATACTAATGTGAAAATTGACTGAGACCCAAGAAAACCAGGAACTTCGGATCAATTTCTCTTTCCAAGGGGTGGATCTTGCACAACAAAAAAGCGCAAGAAGAGATTTTGGGCTTAACACTGGGTACTTTGTGGATGTCTCTTTCATGGATGGCTTAAAGTAACATCTATTTCCATTGATCCTAGGTTCTTACTGACTGCTTTCTCCAACTGTTCACAGCAAATGCTTGGATTTATGCAGTAGGCATTACTACAGTACATGGCTAATCTTCCCAAAAAACTAGCTCATTAAAGATGAAATAGATCAGCTCTCTTCAGTGAAGAGGACAAATTGTTTATTTAAAGCATTTGTTCCAATAAAATAAATAGAGGGAAACTTGGATGCTAAAATTTTACATGAGTAGAAATTTTCCTGGCACTTAGTGTTTCTATGTTGCTGAAAAATGATGTTCCAGAAAGATGACTTTTTTCCTCTTATTTTTACTGCCATTGTCGACCTGTTGTGGGACATTTTTATATATTGAATCTGGGTTCTTTTTGACTGGTTTTGTTTTTTTTTCCCAACTCAACTGCATCCGTTTTTTTTTAAGAGAAAAATTTAAATTCTGCATGTAATATATCTACTGTCATCTTAGTTGGACCAACTTCCCATTTGTTTATCTTATAATGATCCAGTTATGTCTTAATTCTATCCAAAGAAGATACAGTCTGAAGATAGAGGTGTACTCTCTACAATGCAATTTACTGTACAGTTAGAAAGCAAAAAATATTAAATGGAGAAGATACTTGCTTTTATTAAACATCCTGAGATTTAGATAAACTACATTTTAACTGAATGTCTACAGTGATTATCATTTTTTTCCCCCAAGTTAGTCTTACATCTTTTTGGGTTTGAATGAAGGCTTTACATAAGAAATTATTAAAAGCAAGGGGGGATGGATAATTAATGTATATAACATTAAATAATGTAATGTAGGTGTAGATTCTCAAATGCATTTGGATGTACAGATTGACTGAGGAGTACTTTTTTCTGATGATGATTGGTGTAGAAATGTGTGAATTTGGGTGGCCTTTTACATCTTGCCTACCATTGCATGAAACATTGGGGTTTCTTCAAATGTGTGTGTCATAATTCTTTTGGGGTGGGGGGTTGTTTTCTTCTGTTTCTTTTCTGAAACTCCTACAGGAGCTAAATTTGTAATTTAGAAACATTTAATTTTGTTAATTCTGTCTGGGACATTTAAGTAACATCTAAAGCATTACTGCTTTAGAATGTTCAAATAAAATTTCCTGACCAAGTTGTTTTGTGGAAATAGATGTGTTTGCAGTTTGAAGATACCTGTTCAAAAGACAATATTAAATGCTGGGTATTTTTGTTTAGTATACTATAAAATATGCTTTTCTAATACAGAGGACCCCCACTTAAATTCCCAAACTTGCCTACTTGGATTATTGAGTGTAGTCACAAAAGTGAATGATAAGCCCTTTGAATGAAATTGTGTTACAAAATCTATTCTGATTTGTGTACCATGTAAAAGTCTAGGTAACTACTGGATCAACAAATAACAGGTTTTCTCTTCTCTCTCCTTCACTCCCCTCCCTGCTGTCTTTTCTTCTTCCTTCCTTCTTTCCTTCCCTCCTTCCTCTCCACCCTCCTTCCCTCCCTTTCTTCCTTTCTAGTACTGGAGGATGAACCAAGGACCTTTTACACTGAGCTTCTTCCAACTCCTTTTTATTTTTTGCCTTGTGACTGGGTCTCACTAAGTTGCCTGGGCTGGGCTCAAACTTGGAATCCTCTTGCCTCAGTCGCCCAGAGCGCTGGGCTTATAGCATGTACCTCTATGCCAAATTTAAGGTTACAGTTTTTAAAAAGAAGTGATTTTAATTTAGAATATAGTGTTTTGGAACCCTCCATAATTGGAACTTCCAGGAGTTTTCCTAGAACCACTTGAATTTCTAGTTTAATTATTTTGCATAGGCAAATGACCTCCTAAAACTATTGAATGTTGGTATTTTTAGAAAAACTCAAACCAGCTCTGTTAAACCTTAATGTAAAGTCATGCCGTTAATAGTTACATAAAATGTTTTCATCGCAAAATATATTTCAGTAAAATGCTAGGCTCCATATCCTATATTGTGGTGTATAAAGAGTTAAAATTTAATTTCTTAACATTTAAGTATGGTTGATATGAACAGACAAATTTGACCAGAAGCTGTGGGTAGATCCTCCTCTTCAAGACTGAATGTTAAACATAATCACATTCTTCCAAAATTTTTATCTTTGTTCTCACCTGCCTTTGTGATCTTATAAGAAACATAAAAGTTGGTATTTATCCTTTTTTTTTTTTTGTCTTTTTTTGAGACAGGGTCTTACTATGCAGTTCAGGCTGACCTTGAGCTCACTTTATAGCCCAGGTTGGCCTTGAACTCGCAACGATCCTCCTGCCTCAACCTCCCAAGTGCTAGGATTACAGACATGCACCACCACTTATATCATATAACTTTTTAACATATAAAGTACTTTTAACATAATGTCTAGTGGAATATCAACTAGAGAGCACACTTGTAATACAGTTTGTTTTTCATGATATAAATCTTGCAGGTAAGATATAGCAGTTTTAAAGAAATGGTATAACTGTTCACAGGTGCACCAACTGTTTTTACTGAGTTGAGCTCTCTTTGAAGTTACTGAATCCACAGTGAAAAATAATTTTCTAATTTCCAAATACATTAGGAACATTAAATGCCTTGAAAGTCCTTTAGAAAAGGACTTATATTAGTTTTTGGCTTTCTTCAGTGGTGAAGTGAGTAAGTGCATGTTGAAGAAGATGTTCACAAATGGTTTATGTCCCTAGCTGTCAGTTGTAGAATCGTAAAATAGAGTATTTTTAAGTTAATTGAAGGGTGGGATTTTTATACTTCTTTAATGCTGCACATCTCTTCAATTTACTAGCATTTGCTCAACTTACCAACTGATACTTGGAGCACTGTTAAAAACTGAAGATAAACTTTATGTAGCTTCAAGTGTGCTTCTCCTGAAATTTAACTTCATTAGGTGTTGACACTATTCCACATGTATCCTGGTATAAGAGAGGGTAAAGTACAAATGCAACAGCTGGAGGAATGATAACGATATATTGTGTTAGACTCCTAGATTTTATTGGGATTGCCCATAATGAAACCTCTTTGAATTCAGCATATTGTGATACCTGAAACTAGTGAATAGTGTGCTTGGATGTTTCCCATTGAGAGTAGATAAACCAGTAGTGGTTGCTGCAAATTCCAGTTCTTCCAAATGCCACTTTATTTGGGGTTTAGCCACAAATTGCATTAATTTTAATAAAGCATTTGTTGCTTAAATGTTTACTAACCACATTATGCCAAATGTCTTGCGAATACATGTAATTTTAAAACTTTCCGAATTTTTACAAATGCCAAAAAAAAGTGTACTAATGTAATTTGTTCAGGAGAAGCTACATACTGAAGGGCTTCTGTATATGAGTTCTAGTCAGGGCGAGAGAGCCTATTTGTAAAAATCAGTACACTGCAGTTTCTTGGAGGTTTTAGGTTTAGACTGCAGTGTATCTCTGCTTTATTCTGTCAATTTATTGGAAAATGTAAATAGGTATAGTGCTGTTTGAAAACACAAATATTAATGGTTTATATCTTCATTAAATACAAAAGTTATGAAGCTATGTTTTAGCAATCAAGGTACTGTATTAAAGAGATCAGAGATATGGAAATTTAGGAAGATTTTTGGAAATGTATACAGATATAGACTAGATTTATAAATAGTGCAGATCAGAAAGTTAACATATACCTGCAGAAATTTTGTAAGATTTAAATTGAGTATGAGGAGTAACTCTAGTTCTTTTTTTTTTTTTTTTTTTTTGAGACAAGGTCTCACTATGTAGGCAGGTTGGCCTTGAACTTATGTAGCCCGGGATGGCCTTGAACTCATGGTGATGCTCAGCCTCCTGAGTGCTGGAACTGCAGATGTGTGCCACCATGCCCAGCTCTAGTTCTCTTTTATGAGCATTTCCTAAAAGTTGGATGGGATTTAAATTCTTATTTGAGCTATTGATAGGTATGTACAGACACAAAAATAAACTGAATTTCTTGTTGGTTAGGAAATGTAAACAGATTGCTCTGAAAGCAGCTTATAATGAAACATTGGTGAACTAGCCCTGTAATAAAATTGACAAACTATAGCGTGTGATGGGCTGGGGATATAGCTCAGCGGCACAAACACCTGCCTAGCAAGCACAAGGTCCTGAGTTCAATCCCCAGTACTCCCCCCTCCCCCCCGAAAAAAAAGTATAGTGTGTCAACCCCAGTTCATCAATTTAGGTTATTTGAAAGTTATAAAGCTCTTTTAAGAGCTTAAGGCAAGGAAGAAAAATCATGGAATTTTATTAGAAGGACAACAGTATTCTTAGAAAAGCAGTCCCACTTGGTCTTTCAAACTTGAAACTATAAATTCCAACAGAACATGGACAATTGACAGACTTCGAAGGACACAGTTGTTGCCCAATGATCACTTCAGTTCTGTATACACCCTTGATTTGTGAAGGCTGTATTCCAACTGCCTTTTTAGTAATAGAAATCTAGGATATAATGTGTCAAGTACAATTGAGGTTCTAATCTAGTCTGTTAATTTATCTGGAGATGGATTTTTAAAGTAATAAAAAGTTAAACGTACTACCCTTGGATGCTTTATTTCTTTCCTTTTTGAAACAGGTGCATGAAGCATAAGGAATGACCCATTATTATTGGCATGCATGTGAAGAGATTACTAGCTTTCCACCATTAGGTAGAGTAGGGATCAGTAGTTGTGAAAAGCCAGATAGTAAACAGGTATTGAGGACCAGCCAGTTTCTGTCGCAGTTCTCTAGCATTGTACCACAAAGCAACCATGGTAGACAGTCCATAAACTATTGAATGGACTGGGTTCTAACTTAAGTAAAACAGCAGCTCTTGGGCCACAGCTTGCTGACCTCTGAAATAAAGGATTTAAGATTTAAGGTTTGATTTTCCTTGCCAAATTTATATTTTGGAGAAAAATTCAATGTATAGAATAGTTGAAAGAATACTAGAATGAACAGGATTTGTCTTTTTTAAAAAATGGTTTTATTTTATTACCATTCTTTTGACACTATGAGGTGATCAAAATATATGGTGAACGTTTAACTTTTTAAAAAATTTTCTTACAGTAAATGATATATTGCCGTTAATCCTACTTCACTTCCCTTCAAACACATCATTTTTGCCACCACCTGAAGCACTTTTGTAGTCCTCTTTCATTAGTATTTAGTTATGCTGTTGGGGCTGTCTTGATGTCCTGAAGTGATTCAAAACATTTGCCTTTCATAGTCATTTGATTTTTGAGGAAGAGCCAGAAGTCACACGGTGCCAGATCCAGTAAGTATGGCCAGTGAGGACATACCATAATTGTATGGCACGTTTATACCTCCTAAAGTTTTAGAGCTGCTTCAGAAAGTGGCAAGAAGGATGGGATAAGTGTGTCTGCAGCAAGGTGAGTATTTTGAGGAGCGTTAATATATCTTGTACTGTAAAAAGTTATTTTAATATTTGCCATATGTTTTGATCACTCTTTGTATCCGCATTTCAAAATGATACACTCAGATCTTACCACTCCTGCGTCTTTCACTCTCCTGATTGGTAATCATGGCCTTTATCTAGTTAGTTCTTACTACTTTTTCAAAACAGTTTCACATGTATTAATCTTATAACCATCCTGTGAAGCTGGTAGGGTATATGAAAAACTGAGGCAGCTGGAGTGGCTTGTATTTTTAGCCCTAATCATATATGGCCCTATTATCTCGATATTTGTAACTATAAAATGGAGGTGTTCTCTCGCCAGTCTGGTAGGCAGATAATGTATGTAAAGTCACATTGAATATCAGTGCTTTGTACAAATGAGGATTATTTTTATTCTGCATTGAAATTAGTGGTTAATCTCTCCATGTTTATTTGTACTTTTTCATGAGGCTGCATTTTAAACTAGTTTTTAAGATCCTTATCAACCTTGATTCTTTTCACCACCCCTCCCCGCTGCAGTTTTATTAGGTGCCTCAGTCAGCACCTATACTTGGCAATTCCTGCTAGACAAATAAGTTAGTAAAAAATTGTGATCATGTCCTATGCTTTTAATGAGCACTTTTTGTTTGGAAAACTAAGGGCAGAATTCTGTTGTGCAGCCAGCTTTTCAAAGTGAGCATTACAACAACTTTATCTGCAGTATATGACAAGGGATAGGCCTACCTTAGGACAAGTGGAAACAATTCTACGAAGGTATTTAAAGTTATTTTTATTTTCAAATTTGCATGTTTAAGACGACAGGAGTTTCAAACTTTGATGGAAATGGTTGTAGGGAGAAGTTGATGTAAGTTTTAACTGATCAGCATTCCAGTTATTCATAGCTGCTCACCCCGAGCTACCAAAATCGCAGGACTTAATCTTGACAGTCACTGAAGGGAAGGAAAGGTTGAATGAGACATGGAAGGTGGTTCCAAGTTGGAGTTGGCTAGAGAGATCTGCTGCAGTTTGTAGAAAGGCAGTTTTCTCATGGGATTTAATTTAAAAATATATTTAAAAGCTATTTGAATCCAGATTAGAGTTATATAAAAATCAGTAAAATCAGGAATATAGAACTGATGAGTAGGAGAGTGACACAGGTGTAGTAGCTGCTATAATAGAAGCTGGAATGAGGATGCAGGGTCTGTTCCTATCAAAAGTGTCCCAGGCAGAAGCATGGAGATGTGAAGGAACAAGGTTCTTCTGGGAAGACTACAGATGCTGAATGCAGCAAGAGTGAAGGATGGGAGATAGCAAGAACTGGGTGGGAAGGATCAGTGGTGGATGGAGGGCCCGGTATGCCATCTTGAGCTGGGATAAAGGATTTGGAGAGTCATGAAGGGGTTTAAAAGCTGCTGAAAAGTGTAACGGTATAAAAAAAATTAAAAAAAATTATTGGTATATGTTTCCAGTACAATATTCATTATAGGGTATTGGTACATAAACATATTGCATCTTGATCTTAGTGTTAGTACCTTGTAAGTGCTCAGCACTGTAATGGAAGGAATGAGCCAGCAGAGTGCCAAGTCGATTCTGTAGTATCTGCTCTGCACAGGAAATCATGATGCACAGTGGCCTGGTAAGGTAAAATGAGAATGGCCTAGCTGGGGAGGATAAAGCTCGATAGACTTGAAGGGGTTTGAGAGCAGCTGCAAAAGAACGTAGTTACTCTGGTCTGGCAAATGAGTTGTGCAGTTGACTAAGAAAAGAGAATCTGGTTTTCTATCTGGACCCAGTGATACAAGGGGAGGAAACCCACAAGTAACTAATGTGTAGTGGAACTGAACTGAGCAGCTTTAGGTCATAAAAACTTTTTGTTCAAAATTTACCTGCAGTTTTCTCATGGGATTTAACTTAGAAGTGTATTTTAAAATTTGAATCCAGATTAGAATTTCCTCAAAATGATGAATAAAATCAGGAGCTATAGAACTGATGAGAAAAACATTGGCCATCCCTGTTCGGTCATCCTAACCTAACAAGCTAAATAGTTTGTGGCTGTTTGTTGGTTGATAGACGAGTAACATCTAACTCTGCCTTCTGACATAAAACTATGGATCATTCTTAACTATTTTCAAAATATTTGAACAAAGGGCATTAATGAAAAGACCTGGCACTTGCCCAGAGTTTGGGGGATTAGAGGCAATAAAAGCTCACAACCTTAGGGTATGCATAAGAGGTAGCCTCTAATGTCTACTTTCCAGAGGGATTCCCTGCTAATGAAGCCAGTTGGCTGTTTGCCTGGTGCCATCTGGAGACCTGGAAGTGTCACAGAAGTTTGTTAGGCCTTTTAGATGTTAACTTCGTGGACTGGTCTAACAGGTGGTGACCTTCACTGGGGTGAATGTAGAGAACTATGGCGTTGGGTTTGACTCCTTCCCACATTCAGGCAGAAATGCCATTCAACCTCTTCCCACACCTATTGCCTATTTAGTGGCCACTTGTCCTTCCCTGCCATTTGGTGGCATCTACTAGCCTGTCCATCCGCAAACCCAGTTCCTAACCAGATCTTGTTCAATCTTGCTTCATCCTGTATGCACCCATCTGATGTGAACTCAGATGACAGGAGAGTCAGGGTCAACTCTATTTCTGTGTAAGAGCCAGGATGCAATATACAGTGGCTAACTTCTACCCTTAGTTTGGAGGAATGATTATCCTAATTGAGGAATTATTATCTCAAGTCAATGATGGTGAAACTTTTAGAGATGAGTGCCCAAACTGCAACCCAAAATCCACTTACTGCAAAGTGCCAACATCTGCAACTAAACCTGAATACTGAGGTTTTATTTAACGCAGAAAAAAAACCCTCATACAGTAACATATTTTGTCTTGAAAACAACACACCTGCTGTAGGTTTGCCACCTCTGTCCTAGGTGATAGAAAAGAGAGACACCATACTGTAAGAAATTCAGAATGCTGTGTAAAGCCAGCTCTGGGCCTCCTGTTAACTATTGTATCATTGGAGGCTATGAAACCATGTAGAAACCAAACAAGGTCAGCCCATTTTCTTGCCATTTAAATTTTTAAAATTCTGGATCTGATGCTAGGAATCTCAGTACACACACACTGATGTGTTATACTTCTTGACTAGGGCAAGTTTGCTTACATAAAAAGATCTTTGGAAAGCTTCACAGTAATAATACATCTCTATACCAAAATGGCTCGGTTCTGACAATTTTTACATTTAAGGTACAGCATAAAAATAGGTTTCAATAGCTTTTGATTATTCCTCTAAATTATTTGGGGATGCGTTTTTCATTGGCAGAGAAAAACGATTTCAGAAGTTGGTCATTTTCATTCCATCATGTTAATGGTGAGTGGCTTATTTTGATAAAACAATCACTATGGCTGTTCCATTTGTCCACCTGTTTGCTCATTGGAAGCATTTTAGGCTGACGAAAGGATGAGGCACCTAGAAATCTGTTGCTTAAACCATTCTTCCTTGCAAATCACCACACACTCCCCCAGGGTGGATGGGTGCTGCAGAGAGCGGCCTTGGCTGGACGCGGGGATGTTGAGAGAATCGTAAATCCTCGACTTTTTTTTTCCTGCCCTAAGAGACATTCATTTCATCGCTGCAGAGAAGCGACTGTCCGAGAGCGCTCAGCGAGTTAGTGGCGACTCGGACCTCTCGCACCCGACTGCCCATTCTGCTCCTGCCTTTGTCCACGTGGGCACTGGGAGTTGTAAAGTGCGTCAGGAGAATAAAGCAAGGCGGGAATCCTGGCCTCGGTCTGTGGAAGCCGTGTTCCCGGGGTCAGAGGCCGAGGGGGTACCAGGCCAGGCGCTGGCCTTAGGCTAGGTGGGTGGCACCGGTCCCGGGCCCTCGCGGGGCTCCCTCACCTCGCTCCCTTCTTCGGAGGCGCGGAGGTGCCGGGAAGAGGAGGGGCCTCTTCGCGGGCGCGAGAGCGATTGGCCGTGCGGGGCCCCGGGCGAGGGCCTTGCGGTCCAGCCTGGGTGGAGAGGGGCGGGGCGGCCACCGCTCCACCACTGCCACCGTCGCAGCCCCTGCAGCCCCGGCCGCCCGGCGAGTCGCTCAGAGCCGCGGCTCCGGTGCCTCGAAGCGAGTGGTGCCCCGCGCTCTGCCTGCTCCGTGCGAGGCTCGCCCAGCAGCGGCGAGTGACCACGGAGCCGCCGCCGCCCGCCGACCCTGTGCACCGTGCCAGCCGCGCCGACCCTGCGCCACCATGCCCAGGGCCACTGTGCTCTGGGCCCTGGTTTCCCCGCTGCTGCCGCCCCTGGTGCTGCTGCTGTGCGCGCTGCCCCGCGGCGCCGGGGTGCTCGAGGAGCGCGCAGATGCCGCTCCGGACTACTCGGCTCTGGCAGGCGAGGAGGGCGCGGACCCGCGGCCGGAGCGGTACCACGACCCGTGCAAAGCTGGTAGGTGCCGCTGCCTCTGGGAAGGTCCGGCAGAAGTTTGCCTTTGAAATGCAAATGAGCAGTGGACGAGTCTTTGCTATGCTCCATGGGGCGTGTCTCCCCCCTTGCCCGAGATGCCCCCTGCTCCCTGGGAAAACAATGCTCCTGAGGCGCTGCTTAAATGCCACCCCAAACCTGGGTGCGTCTGGGTGGCAGCTGAGCGAGCGTCCGCGAAGCTCGTGGGGGCGGGTGCTCCAGACCCGAGCGGGTACCCATGGATGGGGCCGCCTGTCACGGGAGAGTCGGCTGGGCCGCCTCCGGGCGCCGCGCGCTGGAGCGGAGGGTCGGGCTGGGTGCGCCGCTCCCGGGCTCGCACAGAGCTGCTGACCCCGAATTCACGGCATTTGTGAGTTTCGCGAAAAGTTTCCCAAGATCAGCAGTTACTCTTGCGAGAGGATTTTTAAGAAGAAAGAAAAGCTTCACAGTAGGAAGAAGGAAAAGGGGTCATTAGGGAGAACACACAAGACTAGCTAGCATTGCCGCAGACCTCCCCGTAGTCCCAGCGTTGTCCCGGCCTTGGGGTCGCCCTGGGCGGGCGCAAGATGGAAGTCGGCAGGTGCTCTAATCCCGCCAGGAAACGACGGCCAGGGACGCGCGGCCTTTGGGGGCACCAATTGCGGCCTGGGCATTTCAGCTCCAGCTTCCCCGAGCTACGAACCGTCCTGGGGTCCCGGGCAGCGGCTTCAGAACCGGAATCCTCAAGGCGTCAGTCCCAGAAGGGCCAAAGTGCGGGTTCCAAAGAGACTAGGGCAATTCCCAGCTGGGACAGAGGAGTGCTCTAGCTCCCCGGGAGATGTGTGTTTAGAGGACTGCACTGCCGCTACTGATTGTTCTCCGGTTTGGCAGGGTCGTATTTGTTTCTGGGCTTTGTCCAGCCAGTTTCACCCAGTGGCCAGCAGAAATGACTGGAAAGAGGCAAGAGCACCGTTCCCATGCCCAGAGGGATAGTGTGCTTCTTCCAGGTGCCATGGCGGGACAGGTCTGTGCCAGCAGCTTCGGCCAGCACCCCATTCTCTCCCTACCTGGACACTTTAATCAGCCTCAGTTTCCTTATCTCTAAATTGAAAAGTAAATAGTAGCACTCACATGATTCATGGGAAAATTCTGTGCCAGTGGAATAATGACAATGGCATGATAATTGTTTTTGCTGTGGCTGCAGTGGCTCTGGAGTGGAATAGGATTAGGTGTGTCAGAACTGAGTGAATCTGAGCAAGATGGAGGACCCAGGGAATATGTGAGATGCGAGGAACCTGTGAAGGCTGAAGATCAAACCAAGCATAAGGGGCAAAATACCACCTACCGATATACCTGTGTGGCTTCGGTTGGGAAGGTGGGCAGACGGGCTGGTTCCTGGGTAATTCCAGTGAGCATCAGCAGGTACCATAACCTGAATGAGGCATCTCAGTTCCTCATGGGAGCTCACTCATGGCCAAGAAGGGTCTCCAGGACACTTAACTTTGTGGCCCTGTCCTGAAAAGAGGAAATTGAAGCTGGGAAAATAGGGTATGGGTTGATCAACAGCCAGCTACCCCTGTCAGATTCTGGACTCTGCCAGGCGTGAGCTGGGGCCTCAGTTAGAGCAGCTGGGCCTCAGAGGGTGGAAGAGATTAGTTTGGTTAGGAACAGACTGCAAATCCTGAGGCGGGAGAGACATGGAAGATCTTTGAGACCTTCTTTCCAGCCTGGTTTTGGTCTTCGGAGATAACCTAGAGGCAGGTTTGCTGTTGGGCTTCATTTTTTTCCAGTCGTTTTGGAGAACATGCTGGATAACCAGGGGCATGTTTGTGCTATGACTCTTTGCAGATAGGATGGGATGGGTAGGCAGGGATGAAAGGTAGAGTGAGTTTTCAGTCAGATGTGTGCGTCTTCTGCAGGCACCTTGCATCCGCCAACCCACTGTCCTCTCCCTCCCTGGGCTGTGTCATTGCTGAGAGTGGCCAGAAGAGGGCAAGGACAAGGGAGACCTGGGGAAAGGAAACATTTCAGTCTACCCATCCTCCTGGAAGTTTCCTGCCCTGGGTAACAGCTGTCTGGAAGACCAATAGCAGTTCACAATGCACACTTCTGGCTGGCAGGAGTTTCACTTCCCAGCTGCATATTTAAAGCAAACCTTTAGGAGCAGCCTTGTCCTATCTCAGTCAAATCCTAACTCCCAGACTTCTCCAGCCAGATGCCCACCTCCTAGGATATGCCTCAGGGTTTGTAGCCTAAAACACTTGTCTCTTTTCCAATACGGGTCTCCATGCTGCTTTGGATCCATAATACAGAGGGGGAAAGTCTTGGATCTGTTTTCAGCCTCTGTGTAACTATGTTACCTTGGACATATCCCCTCCCCTCTGGGCCTCACTTCTTTCTCTGTAGGGTGAAGATGTTGAACTATTTAGGATGGCAAACTGTAGGCCAAAGGAACTCGTTCTCTTGGTTCACATCAACTATCTTGCTGTGGGCCTGTTACACCTCAAGGGTGCTCATGTAAGCTCGCTGGCTTCTTCCTATTCAATGTTGCATGGTTCTGTGAACTTTGGTTCTAGCCCAGCCCTTCATAGGCTGAGCAGACTAGCAAGGGTCATACCATTTACAAGGTTATCATTTACTATTTCATCGTTTTTTAAAATTTTTCTTTTAGTCATTTTTATCATTTTATAATTTTTTCATTTACTCTGCCATTTACAAACTGCAGGAGCTTGGGCAAGTCTGTGCCTTTGGATCCACTGACTTCTGATAAAGTAATTAAAACAGTTCCTGACAAGGTGTCAGGTATTTTATTTTATAAACAGATTTTTCTAGAAAGTTGTTGAAACATCTTCATGTTAACCTTTTGATGCAGATTCTAAGCTGTAATTTTAAGTTTATTAATAGACAATTTGTTTGATGCTGTGAAGAAGAATGATTGTTAAGTCATGTTTGTAGAGGGGAAGTGAACTGTGAAGCCCTCCTGGCCTGTGGTTGGTGGGGTGCACTGGGCTCCCAGGGCAGGTTCTCTGTCTGGTGGTCCATTAGCTCTGCTGAATTGTCCTTCCTGTGATACTTAGGGCAGCCAAGTACAGTGGTACCTTGGTTCACAAATGCTGTTTTTGATGAACAATTTGGGTTGCAAACAAGCATTTGGTGAAAGTTTTGAAATTTTGGTTTTGTTTGCAAACCCTACATCAGGTGAAAAGCATGACTGTGGCCACCTTTTTCACATGAACTCAAATATGGTCATCTTTCCCAGAATTGTGCAATAAATTAAGTTCTTGAACTGAGGCAGTATTGTACTGTCCCTTGAATCACAAGGCATCCTACCCACTCCTGTGTCTCTAAGAGCAAGCCTCAGAAGATTCCTGCCTGCCTGTCCTCAAGACAGTTCTTTAGCTGGACTCAAGCTAGAAGGCCCAGATTTTTATCCTGATGCAATTCTTACTTTCTGCATGGCTGTCAGCAAGTTATTCCACCTTTCCGTGCCTCAACCTCACCACTGCACCATGAGGAGGCCAGTAAAAACACTTGCCTTGTAGGTTGGACACGAGATCAGTTTTAGTTGGATTCCTTTGAAAACAGGGCCAGAGACAAGGATTTGTGTGTAGAGTATGTTTAGAAGGTGAACCAAGGAAGCAGGGGTAGAGAGAAGAAAGGAGGAAAATTCCATGAAGGGCAGGCAGTAGGATCAAGGGAGCTGCTTTAGGTAATGGCCATGTGACCCCCTGGGATCTCTGAGAAGGTTACAGAATTACCCACCCTAAGAATAGGAGGTTGAAGCATTTTTTGAAGGCTGCTGCCCTTCATTGCCTTCTCTTTTGTTTATGTTTATGTTCATGTGTGAAAAATCACTCCCAACTCATTGTTATGGATTAGGAATTTGGAAAGGACAGCAGGGGTGGCTTATTTTGGGCCCTGTAGACTGAACCTCAGCTGGGAACTCTTACAGGCTGGGTTTATTGACAGTTAGAGGCTGGCATCATCTGGAGGTCCATTCCAAGACTCATGTGCCTGGTGGCTAAGGCTGGCTGTTGAATTGTTGGACAGAACATCTGCAAAGGGTCTGTCCTTTGGCCTCTCGCTGTGGTCTAGTTGGGTTCCTCAGAGTATGGCAGCTGGACTCTAAGTGGGTCCAAAAGAACCAGATGGAGGCTGGAGTGCCTTTGATGGTCCTGCTTTAGAATCACACATTATCACTGTCCCCAGGGTTACAGCCCTCCCAGATTTAAGGAGAGGGAACATAGACTTGCTGTCCAATGGGAGGAATGTCAAAGCCCTCCTAAAAGACCATGTGGAATGGGAGTGGTTGTTGGAGCCCGTTTGGGAAAGTATGCTCCGTCACACTTCCCACAGCATTAACTAGAGATCAGGCATAGTGGGCTCTACAGATTGAGAAAAAGTTCTGAAAACATAAATATGGAGAGCCATGAGGCAGAGCCGTGGAATTTCCCAGGGTTGAGCTGAAGGTATGTGATTCAGGCACTAAAATTGTCAATGTGAGGCTTGGATGAAAGTGCTTGTATAACTTTTGAGTTTATTAAGTCCAAGGGAACTGGTGGGGAGTTGGTTTTATTTTTCAGCTGGTGGCTTGGGAAATGCCAAGGTCGTCCTTGTAGCTGTGAGTGTGGAGTTCTGATGATATAGTCTCTGGCCCCTGATGGCTGAAGGCCAGAAGCCAGTGTAAGAGTTGTAGCCTGTGAGCTGGCTCTTCCCTCATGAAGACCTTTGTGCTCCTCCTCACATTTTCAGACCTTACTTCTGCCTGCACTTTGGTGTTTCGCTTCACCTTGTCATTCTATACAGGATAGCTGAGCGATCAGGGTTTTGGTCACCCAGGGCACTCTCTCAGGCAGTTCTTGCCAGCAGCCTTCATGTTATGGATGTGATGCTAGAATGTTAAATTCCACAAATTCAGGGATTTTTGTCACTATGCCCAGGGCCTAGAGCAGCATCCAACAAACTACAGACACTTATCAATACCTGCTGACTGAGAGAGGTGTGAT